GCAACTACAACTCCCAAATAAAAAGTTCTATTTTCCCCAAACTCCAACATTGTGCCCATTTCGGCATATTGAGGATTCATGCCAAGTTTGGTCCAGACCTATCATTGCTTGAGTCTACAGTGCTCTCTAGATGTAGACAAACTACAACCCAGAACCCAAAGTCAATTTCCACCAAACCCTTCCAGTATTTACAGTTGGTCATGGAAATTATGTGCCAAGTTTGGCTCAATTCCATCATTAGTGGAGTTCAGAATGCTTTTTGATTGTAGGTTAACTATAAATCCCAACAACTTCAACTCCCAAATGATAAAATCAATCCCCTTCACCCCACCCCACCAGTCAGGCCCATAGCCAGGATTTCGTTTCGGGGGGGGGGGGGGGGGGTGGGGGCTGAGTTTCGGGGGGGGGGCTGAGTCTGAGTGAAAGAGGATCTAGCCTAGCAAACCTTTTGTATCATTACCCCAATACCCCCATGCATATGGGATATATTGAGTATGGTGATCAGATCATGATATGAATAAACATAACAGTTTAAATAATGCACCAATAAGGCCTTTTCGCGAACCACCATGAAAATTTGGGGGGGGGGCTGAAGCCCCCCCCCCCCCCCTACATGCCTGCCACCAGTATTCAAATTTGCACATATTTTCACTCATTTGGTCCAAAGAATGAAAATACATCCTGCATATCAGATATTTACCTTATAATTCATAACAATAGCAAAATTACAGTTATGAAACAGCAACAAAAAGTATTTTTATGGTTAGGGGTCACCACAACATGAGGAACTGTATTAAGGGGTCACAGCATTAGGAAGGTTGAGAATCACTGAGCTAGCATGACTTTTTGCACATTCACCCCATCTTCCAGTTCAAATCAAGTTTGCTGCACAATTGAAAAATATTTTCAGCATGACTTCAGGCATAATCTACTAAACACTAGTTCAGTCATATGCTGAGGACACAATGAAGTAATCAACAAGACCAATAGTTACTGTGCTATAATCTAATGCTGTGTAGATCTATTCAACCATCATCTGCAACATATTTATTTAAAAATAAATTTTGTCTTTTTTTTTTAACTAGAAGCAGCTTACAAATCAAAGCATTAAAAAAAACCCTATTAGCAGAAAGAAATAACAATCAACACAAGTGCTGCAAAAGCTTTCAGGCACAATTAAAATGTCACTATGGAAACTCAAAAGTGAAGTCAACATGAATGTCACTTGCTATCTTTCTAAACCAAACTCCCATGATCTGATCCCCTTTGGTGTTGACTTTTTGATACCAAACAATATGAAGGAATTTGAGAACAAAGAAACCGACCAGGCCAGTAGATCTGTGCTCATTGTGAGAAAAGAGGATCAAGATCATGCTTGAAAAAGCAGATCTGACTTCATCAACACTCGGCCAAGATATTTTGCTCAATTAGTCAAAGAACAAACTTCCAGACCTTTTCCTTCTGTGTTACTGGAAAAATCGCTTTGAAAAATATATTTTTCTGAACTGCAATTCAAAAAATCCCATCAGGCTGGAAATTGGGAGTAGTAATTAAAATGCAACTTTCTCAAGCTAAGATTGGAGGTGACTGAACTGGCAATTAAATCTTAATTTAGGACTATCAATGGCATAGCACACCTGAGAACAGGAGGCTCATTTGGAGGTCATAGGGTAGATGGCGAAGTACAAACACCTCTGTTCTCTAACACCTTGCTACACCTTGCGAACTAATTGGCCTAATGATAGGACTGAGAGAAGACAATTGTACTGGGGAAAATGGAAGGAAAAAGAAAGAGGGGCCAACCAAGAGCAAGATGGATAGTTGGCATCCTTGAAGTGACTGGATTGATCTTGAAGGAGCTGAGGGTGGTGATGGCCGACAGGGAACTCTGGCGTGGGCTGGTCCATGAGGTCATGAAGAGTCAGAAATGACTGAACGAATGAACAACAACAACAACAGGACTGAATGTGTGGTAATGGTGTGAATAATGGATAGAAAGGTGGTGAATAGAAGACTTCTTTACCTTTTGTTATACTATTGAGAGTGGGATGGGAAATGGCAGCCCTGTTTTCATGTTTCAGAAGGGAGGATTTGAGGTGGTGCTATGAAAAGAATGGGAAATTCTATCATTCCTTCTGCCTGTGTGTGTCAGGCGTGAGAAGCTTTTAGCTAGTAGTAAATATTGGTCAGACCCTGCATGGCTGAGAAGCTAATTGGATACAGACTCACCGCCTTGCCTTGTGCTACGTTAATCTTCTTATTTAACAGCAGGTCATGATGTTCAATTAACTGGAGTGCTTTTAGTGTGTTCAGTAGATGGGGGATATAACTAAATAGCTATTGTACATAAAACAGCAACCCAATAGTGAGGCAGGTTAATCACCTCTACCAAGACTTGGGCTGGGAAGAATGAAAGAAGAGCTGATAGAACAAATAGTTCCATTTGTTTGGGCCTATCAGCTTCATCGTGGCCTGATTACTGTTTATAAAATGGTAACTTAGAGGGGTTTTCAAAACATTTATTTAATTAGTCACAGCCTAAACCAATGTCCCGTTCATTAGTCACAGATGTCAATAGTTATTAACAAGTTCCCAAAGGCATTTCCTTGTTAATATCTGTTACGTTTATTTCTCAGGCATTTTAATTATGCATTAGAATCTGCACCAAGTATTATAATCGAAGAAAGATGACACTTCCATTCCAGGGTTTTGTTTTTTTCTTGAGGATTTCATTTGTGCCCATCAAAATTCTCTAAGAGAGGTGCCACTTTGCAAATCGAGAAAACGTGTTTGAAAGAAATGTACTCATTCAAAATTGTTCATAAAAGAATAAAATTGCATTTACTATACATGCACAAACTACAGCTAATAGATCTTTAGATGGGCTTTTTTTAACCAGCCGGGCTTTAGCACACCTGGTAAATCACCAGCAATGATAAGATCTACCAACCAAAAGGTTGCCAGTTTGAAGCCCCAGAATGGCATGAACTTCTGACTGTCAGCCGGGAGTTTTACCTAAGCAATTCAAAAACAGCTTGAGCTGTAAGTAGAGAAATTAGGTACTGCTAAAACAAGCAAGGGAAGTATTTTATGACACCATAAAGAAAAGGATTGGAACATGCCCATGACCAAAAGGAAGGAGGAAGTCCTGATAAAAGGAAGGAGGAAGTCCTGATGGCTCTTCGTCATAGAGGATGGAGAAACAGCACCCTTCTGTGGCTGGATTCAAGCACAACCTCCAAGGTGCCAAAAAAGCAGTATGCCGACACAACTTACCTCCTTTCTGTAATGTCTGTCTCTGTCCTGTCTGTCCAAAATGGCATTGAATGTTTGCTGTGTATGTGTACTGTGATCCGCCCTGAGTCCCTTTGGGGAGATAGAGAGGAATATAAATAAAGTGTTATTATTAGTAGTATTAGTATTATTTGAAATACAACAAGATGAGTCCACAGCAGACACTCTGCTAGCTATTGTATTGGATCACACGTCAGACACTTCCCAAGTGTCTAAGACTGTGTGATGTATCAGCGAGGGACCACCTTGGCTGGCTTGTGCCAGAGTCTTTAAATCTTCATATCGTGTCAGCTTTTCCAGTTGTTTCCCTTCAATCCTGCTGTCACCTGGGATTGCAACATCAACAATACATACTTTGTTTTTTAACATGATCGTGAGACATTGTTATTATTTATTTATTTATTTATTATTTCAAACATTTGTACCCCATCCTTCTCAACCCCCGAGTGGGGACTCAGAATGGCTTACAACAGCAACACATACAAAACTACAACACAACATGACATAACAGAGTAGATAAAAACATTAGGTTAAAAATAAATTTAAAACATTATAATCAACCATACTGCCATACCTGAGTCCGATTCACTGACCAACGGCCCAGTCCAAAGCCTGTCCATAATGTTTCCTTTCATTTTTAGTATTTAGTCCTTGCATGTGTGTTTATCTCTGGATTAGTGAATATTGTCAGTGATTAAAATGAAATCCTGGTCTAAGGAAATCCTTTGTCTAAGGTTGACCTGTTTTGGGGCTAGTGGTATCCATTTGGGAAGTCATTAGAAGGTGACAACCTTCCTGCCCGACATGGTACATGTAGGGAGGAATAGATCTAGATATATCAAAGGAAAAGTCAGGGTAAAAAAGTGCTAAAAAGCAACATATTACATATAGGTTTTATATAGGAGGGAAATGTTTAGATATGAAAAAGGGATACATTTAATCAGGGAGGGATCAGAGTTCTTGAGGGGGAGATTTGCTGGTCTAGATCCCATTCCTATGTGCGCTCGAATCAGCACACCCGTGGGGGCAGTTAATAAAAAGAAAATAAGGGGGCACATATATATGAGTGGAGGTTTGGGTTTCATGGGCTGTTGCCACTGGATTGCCCTAGGGTCACTGGGACTCCTTGGATGGCAGTGGACAGCTTATATTTGGTTACGTGCACTTGGTGTGCTATAAATCCCGGAGGGAATGTCATGCTTCACAATATGTGTTCAGGCTAAAATATTATTTTTCCTCTTTAACTTGACATACTGAAGCCATAAACCCTCATAAGCCCAAACACCCTCCCTTTCTCTGAAATGCATGTATCAGGACCACAGGAGGGCAAAAGCAATTTGGAGAACATATAAACTACTATAGCAAGGCGAAATATTAGTCAATGTATTATTGTTATTATTATTATTATTATTATTTTCATTTCATAGTCAGACTCTTAAGGCCTTTCTGATTAGCTTTTGCCTCCAAATTAGAATTATTCTTAAATGAGCAGTGCTATATTCCAGCCAAGACACAGAAATTAATTGAACATTCTGTTCCATTTGTTGATATTCAAACTCTGAAGCCTCAAAGCACATTTTAAGCATAAACCTACCCATACTTTCACTGCAGTCTATAAAACAAAAGAAATGATGGCAAAGAAAGCAATCACTGGAACAGCCTGTCTTTGCAGGAGGTTACTAAATACCAAACCTAAGCCCTGATTAAACAACTAATTGGCTTGAACAGTCATGGCAAAGGAAGCCAAATGCCTTTAGCTTTTAACTGTAAGAGACCAGAGGTTTCGGAACAACTCCGTAAGTGAAAATGTTTAACAGACTGAAAGCAAAATTTACCAAAGTGATGCCAAGCCCATCAGAGGAAAAAGTGAACCATGATCCAGACCCTCCAAAGCCATCACCTCCACCTCAGCCACCTCCAGGCCAGGTAGGACTTCATAACAGATTCTCTTTGCTGACCTTATATTTGTTTCTGACAATGAATGACATTATTTAAAGCTGAAATGAACAAACTGTCAAAAGACTTTGCTTATTCATTTCCAGTATTGACATTTCTGCTCCTTGGTACCTATATTTTAGTTTATTTTTTATTTTGTGCATTCTGCTTCCTATCACTTTATATGATTGGACAAGTATCATTTTCTGCAACATTTCAAAGCCAAACAGAGGCCCCAAGTGATCTTTTAACAGGCAGACTGTCAGTTTGTGCAGATCCAATCATACATATATTTGCTTGGGAATGAAAACGCAAGGAAGCTGAAATGACCTAATTCAACTCATGCTAAATCATTATGGCACCGGGAGTAAAGGAAATTTCAGTCCACAGTTCCAGTGGGCTTCGGGATAGAGTTGAAATTTTCCAAGAAAGAAATTCTCATTTTTCTCCTGAGCAAATTTGCTTCTTAAGATTAATCTTTATCACAGAATCCCAGCAACAGGACAGGCCTGGGGAACAGGGGACAATGGAGGAACTTGTCCAACTTTGTTGATTAATAAGGGATAAAAGGGACCCATTTCTGGAATCAGATTAACCAGTGTTCTATGTTGATCCTTCGACTGAGATGAGTTGAATGTACTATTTATGGAGTCTCAACCAGGTTAAAAGAGATTCTGAATCCAAGATCCTTTTCATTTTTCTTAAATGCCATTTGTCTCTAACTCCATCAATACCACAGTTTTAGAACTCACACTAGACATAAAAGTCAAAAAGAATAATCTGGTCTAAATTCTCATAACGCTATAGCTCTTATTGCTAACAGCAGAACCTGGAAAAGTCTCTCTTCTATGTAACAAAGAGAATCCACCCCAAAGTTACTATAGTAATATAGCTTATTTTGGAAATAAGTCCTGCCCAGGTGGCTTTTAAGAAATTGCTGTATTTCCAGTTCCAACTTGTATAAAGGTTAGCTAATATGCTGGGAGCCCCTGGTGGCACATGAGTTAAACCACGGAGCTGCTGAAGTTATTGACCAAAAGGCTGCAGGTTTGAACTCAGGGATCAGGGTGGGCTTCTGCTGTCAGCCCCAGCTTCTGCCAGCCTAACAGTTCGAAAACATGGAAATGGGAGTAGATCAATAAATACCTCTCCATCGGGAAGGTAACAGTTCTCCATGCAGTTATGCCGGCCACATGAGCTTGAAGTTGTCTACAGACAACACCGGCTCTTCGGCTTAGAAATGGAGATGAGCACCAACCCCCAGAGTCGGACATGACTGGACTTAATGTCAGGGACACCTTTACCTTTACCTAATATGCTAGGTAACTAGTCCATCTCCTCTGTGGATGAGGTCAGCACCAGTCAGCATGGGCACTACTTATCCATGACACAGATGAGATTCCAAATCCCAATGTTACCCTGGGCACATGGAGCTGGAGCACATGGAAGGTATTACTGGCAGCCCTACATTGGTCTGACAATGTTTGAAAATCTCCAAAAAGTTTATTCAACTGAGTTAAGGTGGACAGAATGTGTAGTATGTTAGATGCTTTAAATAATATTTTATAATTATGAACAATATCTGGTGTGCTATAAAACTGTGCAGACCTTCCACTTTAAAGGCCAATAAAGCAGTTTTTGATTAACCGTATCATGATGATGTGGCTTAAAATTATTATTCTTTTTTTAAAGAAGAAACAAATTATTTGCTGTTAGCTCTGAACCATTCATCTTAATTGCTTCTTTGTTAGCAAAGAGAACTCTGCTTCTGCTGGTTAAAGTGGCTTAATTGAGGCTGTGATCCCAAGTACATTTTATGAGAAGGGTAATTTCCACAGGAAAGTAATGTCACTCAACATCCAAATAAATGTGTTTGTGATTGAGATGTAAATGTATGCAAAAAGGCTTGACATGAAGGGAACTTGTTTCTTCTCTAAAAAAACAATCAAAGAAGCTGAAATGAGGATTGAAACAGATGTGAGAGGGGAGATTTGCTATCTTCTGATGGGTTATTTATCTTTTAAAAAATAAGCAGAGGACAACAAATTCAGAGCCATGATGGCAAAAGAGAGCATTTGAAACCTGAATTAAGACATATTGCAGCTTGAAGTGAAGGGTAAGATGATCTTCCCTCACCTTCCCAATTCTGTGTAAAGGGAAACTACATTGGAATTTTACATTTTTACTCAGATGATGGGATACAATGTTCTTCATCATCTTGGGGAAACAGACTGTGTGGGACACACAGCTCTAACCTCCAGCTATCAAGGACTTTGGAGAAATATGTCTCACAACAGCTACCACTGGCCTTTCAGCCCTTATGGCATTTGGGAAGGTAAGGACCTCTGTAGCTGAGAATTCAAAAGGTCCCACCCTAAACTATATTTCCCAGAATTCTGCAGGTGTCAGAAATGCAGGGCTGCCCACTTTAAAGTCCTGGTGTGATAAAATGGCTAGTCAAACAAAAATTTCTGTGGCAAAAAAAGACAGAACGTGGCATCCTATGATTGATGGTGCCACAAGATTATAATGTACTCGATATTTGTTCATTTGTCGTGTATATGAAATAGTAGATGCCATTTTATGAAAACTTCCGGATAAGATAAATCTAGTTTCTGTAGGAATGTGTAAGTAGATTTTTTTTACAAAGAATAATATTTATTCAAGTACCAAATTGGTTAAATTTATTCAACAAATTAATTCTTTCAAATATTTGAGTTTTTCTTACAATACAACAATTCCATCTCTTCCAAGATTCTTGTTTTCTTTTCTTAACAGCAGTCACATACCAGGCAACTTGATAAGTGATCATATTTGTCACACAAAAGTGGATTGCAGTATACATACATTGTTCACAAACGCCACTAGGACACAAGATGAAAGAAAAAACTCTCTGGGATAAGCATCAAGTGGACATCAGAGTAAATAATGCAATACCTCCTCCACACAACCATTTCAACAAATGTGCAAGTATCTCCCATCCAAATAGGCAGATGAACTTGATTCTGTGAAAAGCTTCCTCAAATATGTTTTCACAGTTTCACTCCAATCAAAAATATTTTCAATGTAATTTCATTCCTAGGAAGCTCTAAGAAGCACACTCTCTCAAACAAAATAGCAAAACAAGAGATGAATTACAGGCAGTCCCTGAGTTACAAACATCAGACTCATAGTCACAAATGGGGGTGAGACAACAGGAAGTGAGAGGAATCTACCCCCAGGAAGGAAAATTTGTTCCTGAAAGAGTTATCTTGAGGGAAAGGTGTATCCACTGAAGCTTTTATCACCAATACTTGTTTCCACAACAAAACAAAATTTTCAAAATCCAATTATCACTGGGACAGAAAGTGTGGTGAAATCTTCTGAACAGGGGCACAGACAGCAAAACAAACACAACAGGGATGTTAACCCTTTCCTATGCTACTCAAAGCATACACACACACACACACACACATACATACATATATACAGGAGTTATATTTAAAAATATACCTGTTCCGACTACAAACAAATTCAACTTAAAAACAAACTTACAGAGCCTATCTTGTTCATAACTTAGGGACTACCTATTGCCTGCTTCTGGTTCTCATTTTTAAATCCTTTTTGCTCACCACAGGGAAAAATAGTGTGTCTTAGGAGCTGATAAAGTTGTTCCCAGATGTTCCAAAGTTGCCCATCCTGGTTTAGATGCTTTCAAAATGAATAATTCCAAACATATTGGTCTGGTTATTCTCTCAAATAAGTGTAAACAGATCTCCTAGCCAAGACTGGAAGTTTAATTGTCCCAACTGATCCTTGCACTAATTTGCTCCTCAGGAGGCAGAAAAGAGCAAATGCTTCTATGGCATTAAGAACCCCAGAGTTAGATGTCTATTAGAATAGAACAGGGGTGGTCTTTTGTGCAGGTAGTGAGGCCAGTTTTTGTCCTGTGATCATACTCCAGGGGGGTCATGCATATCTGTGCATCTAGTTTCAATGGAAGTTATTCAGAGTCACCATTTTTAATCAATTTGATCAATTTCTTCAGCATTGTCCAGTGTTCTAGGGTTCAATGATAAGTGGTTTGAAGCACTGTGTTTGTAAGTGGTTTGGAAACCTTTGGGAAATTGGTAGGGGAATTGGTAAAAGAACTGGAAGCTTTGTTGGTTTCCAGAGATTTTCAAGGCTCATAAAGATGTGGCTCAGAAACCCCAGGTGGAATGGCACAAGTTGCTAAATCCTGATCATGTTATGAGTATTGTCTTCTCTGACTGTCAGTGCTGCCTAGAATACCCAGAAAAAAACACTTCACAGGATTATCTTGATTGTTTTCTAGGATCATGGCAAAGATAAAACCTGAAACCTTCTGCATAGAAAGTATGTTCACTCCTACTGAGCTATGGCTTCTCCCTTAACTCTAGGTGCATATAGATTTCTGGCAACCATACTAGGCAGATTTAAACCTAATCCCTAAATCTGCCTTCTAGGCTATAATATTATTCCTTCCACTCAGGCTAAGCTTTCCTTTCTTCTTTCCAAAGTCTTTTCCTCATACAGAATGGTGAGTTTCCTCATGCACACCTCAATTATCTCTTTTATCTCTTAAAGATTTATTTTTTAAAAGGCAATCTCTTTTTATTGAATTGTTTCTGTATTATAGATGAGAACTATTGACTTGAGTAGAGAATTCATAACTGAGCCAACATGTAAACAGGAAGCAAAATATGTCCTGTATTTGTGGATTATTTTTTATTTCATTTTTGTTTTTAGTATGTCTGCTGGCACATGTATGCAGTTGGAAATTCTGCATTTAAAAACTCCGTGTGTCTAGAAATGAACTGACAAAAATGCAGTGGAACATTAGAAATTTACCAGATTGTTTCACTGGATCTCTTGCACTCTACTCTCTGTTTGGGAACAGCAGCATCTAGTTGTCCAAAGTGTCCAATGTGCATCAATACTGAAGTATTGAAAAATAATGCAAAAGCAATGGACCACTTGAAATTAATATATTTTTGTACTACCTAGTGTATGAGATATGGGATGTGAAAAAGAAGAGATACAGAATGCTGAGTATTATACTTTTAGACATAGGAAATGATTAGTAATATATTTTGAGTGCTCTTCTTGAAATTCATATACTACAAGTGCTTCTGTTGGTCTTTTAAAGGAAGAAAATAAGCAAGAAAAGAAAGAAAATGAGGGTGCAAATGGTGTTCCAAAGAAAGAGACAGAAAACACCACCCAGCCTAATTCCAATCAACAAGGTTAGTAACAGAAATATATAATGGGCTCCTCCAGATCAGCAAAAAGCTGAGGATTGGGCAAAGTGCTAGCTGTAGTTTATCCATGGAATGTGATGGGTGTCTGATAGCCATACAATGCTCTTCTGCTTGTGGTATTTTTCTTGTGTTAGAAACAACTAGAACTCTCTGCAGCATCTAGATTGTTTTTTTCCTTCCAGTGGGTTGGGGTATTCATTTCCTCCATTGCTCCTGTTGTACTTTTATGTGTTCCCACTAATGATCATAGAATCATAAAAGTTGAGAGAGATCCCATCCGGTGCAACCTCCTGCCATGCAGGAGCACATAATAAAGCACTAATGACAGATAGCCATCCAATATCTGTTTAAAAACCTCCAGAGAATGAGCCTTCAACATACTCTGTATTTCACTGCTGAACTGTTTTTACTATCAGAAAGTTCTTCCTAATGTTTAGTGTGGAATCTCTTTTCCTTTAGTTTGAATCCACTGCTCTATGTCCTAATCTTCAGGGCAGCAGCAGAAAACAAGCTTGCTCCCTCTTCAATATGAAATCGTTTCAAATATTTAAACATAGCTATCATGTCACCTCCTAACCTTTTCTTCTAAACGTGCTCAGCTCCCTAAGTTGTTTCTCATGGAACTTGGCTTCCAGACCTTTTACCATTTTGGTCACCATTCTTTGGACACCTTCCTACATATCAATATGTGTTGGTGTGAAGAATGGTAATGTGACTTTTGTGCTTTGCACAAAATGTATTTCTCTCATTACATTTCTGGCTTCCAGATTCAACATTGTTCCATCCCCTTCCTGCTCCCCCACCTCCTTCTCTCTTTGTTCTATAGTTGTAATACTAAAACAGTATAGTACTGTGACTGCAACAAAAAATAAAAATAAAAAACCAAAATGGCAAGACAGAAGACCCTGATACAGTACTGGGAGAGAAGCATCAGGGAAAGTGTTGAGTTTATCTATCAACCAGTCACTTTATGTACACTCTGCACTTTATTTATACCCAATGTGAGGTATTGGTAGTGCCTGTGTATAGCCTGTTTCCCACCACCACCACCACAGTCAGAACTGACTATACCATAATGTTTTCAGTATCTGTGTAGGAATATGAATGTTTGGTTGTGAAGAAGGCTGGCTCATTCACAGGGCCACCTTAAGTCAAAGCCAACTTGGTGGCAATTAACAACAACAAACCAGCAGGTTATTGTACACCCGTATTGTGTGAAATAGCTCCATGCCATAAACAACTTCACCCGATTATTTTGATTTGGATGCTTTTCCTTTTTGGTTGGCAGCCTTGAGGCTGAGAGCTAACACAAATGAAGCATAAAAGCAGCAACACAAATGAAGCAATGGCCACATAAATCTCTTAATAAATTGTTGAGAAATAACCCAAATCTATAGCTTTTTATATTTATCAGAGGATTTTGGTCACTGAGATGTGTTGAATTGCAGTTCCCATCATTAACAATAACGGTATACCCAAACCTGACATTCTTTAAATATTATAGAGTAAAATGGAAGCTTCCTTGAATAAGTGTAGTACAGACATATAGCATCAGCAAGACTGCAAAAATGATTATTTTTATGGCATGGGAAGGGAACCTATGGTTGATGGGCTTATTCTAGCCCAAAGAGGTCTGGAGGAGGCTCCTCCCTGATCCTTAGTTGCAAATTGGGTTTTGTGATCCACAGCATTAGAGATAAAAGAGGGGAGGACTGACATAAAATGTTAATAATCTTTGAAAGACAAAGGTCATAATGCAGCCAAGCAATTCATTCTGTTATGCTTCTCTTGTATATCAAATGCTTATATAAACAAGTAACCAATTATAAGGGGGGACTCTGAAAAAAATGAAATGACTATAGAAGTGGGTGATCAATGGCAGAATGATTCAGTTGCCATATAAGCAAACACAGAGAGAGACATACACAGACATGTGACTTTAATAAATAAAACAAATAGAATTTCATTATCAATATCTTATATATACTAAAATAATGTTTTATCGCATTTTAGGCAGATGATACAATAGCCATAATCAAAGAAAGGGAAACTTCTGAGATCAATGTAACCATGTTTCAGCAGACATTTTATGTAACTGATGTGTTCATTGGACAGAACTTGTACTGGCAAATGGGACGACTCCTCATAATTAAATTTATTGTCAAAATGCTTAGGTTTGCTGCTTGAAATGCCATGATGGCTAATGGCTACTGAAATGTTGAATCCCTCCAGTATGAAGGAGAGATAACTAGGGGGTTGAAATTATTTGTGAGATAGCTTTCAGCACCTTGGATAATTACTTTGAAGTTCTAAGTAAACTCAAAGTGTATTTATTGCCTCCTTGACATGAAAGTCACTACACACTGTTGCTTAAATCAGAAACTAAGGACACATCCACACTCTAAAATGAGGCCATTAGCTTTGTCTGCCAAAGTGTGCATCACCAAACTACAGTTTCCAGAGCTCCATAGCAGGGGCTGTAGCAAATAATCTGGTGTCAAACTGCATTAAGTTTACAGGGTAAATGCACACCGGGGACCTCATCAATGGGCAGGGGGAAAGCAGGGGACAGTGGAGGGAACCGTTAGGCTCTGTTCCCTGCCATCCATCCTCTGTCTTCACTTGTCATTTTCCCCTCCAAATCCATCTTTCCTTGCTACCTCCTGACATTCCTCCAGGGGCTCTCTGAGCTAAGCTTCTCTCTGCTGCTGTAACAGAAGCCCTCTGGAAGTTACCCAGTGTCATGTGGTGGGTTCCAGGAGATTCTGTTCTGGAGTGGAGAGAAGCAGGGAGAAGATGTTCTTCTCTCTGCATCTGATGAGGTCCTAGGTGGGTACCTTATAATAAATCTACATTTAGCACAGGTTAATGGGGGGGGGGGGGTAAGATAAGGCCAACATGGTTTGGGATCAAACAAAGTTACTTAGTATAATTTCTAAATTGGAAGTGACAAGGAAATAGAGAAGATCTATTGGGTTTAGAAAACAGCTACACTTTTATCACCTTTAAGAAATATTTCAGTAAATGTTTGCTAATGTATGTAGTGAGTCAGAAACTTTTGTTGATCCCAGCATGCATTTCAGCATGCACTTCTCAGCTGTCAAGAAAGAAGACAGCTGAGAAGTTTGGGGAACAAATCATCAAGAGAATGGGAAACTGGCACTTAACGCTGTCTGTACTGATTATTTAGATGCACTTAGCTTCTATTTGTACCAATTATGGAATTACTAGTCAGAGAGTCATGAACCCCATGGTGGGGACAAAGCCAACTCAGCTTAAAGGTAAATGAAAATTCAGAGTCAAACAGAAATATCAGGATTTTAGATAACCATAAAGAGACAATTCCTGGCAACAATTATTATCTTCTACATTTATGGTATTTTAAATACAAAGTAACATGCACTGGTAATGTAGCAGAGATCTCTGAAAGACCTTTACTCCTGCCACTTACCACAACCACAATCTATCTGGTTCTCCCTGACAATGGCCACCCAACAAAGGGCCTATGGATTGAAGACAGATATAACCCAACACCCAAAAGGCTGCATCTATTTCTCCTTTCCTCCAAAAAAAAAAATCACATTGTGTGTTTCAGCCACCACTTTTAATGGCTGGAAGTGGCAACACATCATCTCTGGTTGCCTCTTAGGGCCCTTCTAGATAGACCCAAAATGTGGAACATGGGAAATTATACAGCCAGATATTCTTTGGGGGAAAATGAATGTCTTTCATTCTCACATACCACCTACAATGAGGATTTCAGTTATATTCAGTGGGAACAATGAAGCTGAAGAGTGGCATTAGTGGTTATCATCTTTCACCAACATCACCATCCTGTCTCTATAAGCCCAGATTCTACTAAAACAATGAGCCTTATACAACCCATTGCCACTTAGGGAGGGTCCAGGAGTCTACAATGCTTTTAATTAAGCAAAACCAAAATGTCATGGCAGAATCTGCTGGGTGGGAAAGACCCATATGATAGGTCTTACATTGCAACTAAGGACCCACACAAACACTGCAGCTATGTGGAGTAGGAGCTTAGCAAAGTAGCTTTCATCCACTTTTTGTGCTTCTGCAAGAGGCCTGAGCAAAGAAGTCTCAGAAGCTGTGGAACTTGAAGCATATAAGAGATATGATTGATATTATAATGAATACTCAGCGGACACTGGGTTTCAGGGTTGTGGCTCAGTGAGTACTGTCAGTCAAGGAAAAAAAGCCCTTTGAGCATCAATTTAATTCCTCCTCATCTCCTGGACACTTAACACTGATCCTCTGTTCTTTCAACCAGTCACTATGTAGGCTTGTGGTCTTAGGGAAATATATGCATTGTCACTCAAGATTAGTTGGAGCTTCACATATTTAATAAACTTGCTTACTCTTTTTCAGCTGTAAAAGGCTAAAATGTAGGAAGCTAATCCTCACTTCTGATTGTTGACAGGAAAATTCTGTTCTACATGTGTGTGTGATTCTTTTCCTCCCTTCCGCTCCTTCTCTCTGTTCACAAATCTTCTTTGGTCTTGCTAATCCAGGAAAGAGAATCTCAGAGTCAAACAAGACACTATGCTAAATGTGCATCTAACAATGAATTTGGAAGCTTTTCTATATTTAATACCAAGGTGGAATTGTAGGGTTTCATTAAAAGATCAGTGTACAGAAAATAGATTTATATATATATATATATATATATATATATATATATATATATATATATATACATTTGATTCTAATGAGATTGTTTGCTTTGCATATATGACTTCTACCTTTTTGTGTGATTGCTTGTTTTTAATCAGAATATGCTTTCATATTGAATCCAACCCACTGAGATCAGGGAAAAGAAAGGGTCTGGTCCACCCTCCTTCTCCTTGGTTGTGGAGGTGTATTTGCTGATGTCGGTTAGTCTCTAAGGTGCTACAAGATCCCTTTTCATACTAACTGTCCATACTAACATGGCTATGTCTTCTTATTAATGATGCTAGCACAGC